GAGCCATCGATCCGAAACTCCTGGAAACAACGTCTTCCATTGTCAAAGTCGGTTCTCGGGCGCCCGGGGCGTAGTCCACGACTGCATACGTGAAAAAAGGAGCTTGGGGTTTAATAAATGCAGATACAGAGGTCAATTTAACTCTGTAGCAGCTTGGGCTTCATTGACCGCTTAGAAGTTATCAGCGCTCAAGCTACATTGCGAGAAATGTCCGTAGCTAGTCGGCATGTTTGTTGGGCAAAGACGAATAACGCACAGAATGAAATGACAAGTTTGGGTTTTTTCCTGACAATTTGAGCAAAAATGAAAGATGCTCACAGTTCATGAAATGTGACAACGTCCTGGTTCTCTTACTTTTCTATGATTGTAAAGTAAAAATCTTTGGGTTTTAGACTTTTGATTGGACAAAGCGTGCTATTGAAATGAATCAATTTGGACCCTTGGACGGGTTAAGGAGGGTGGAAAGTACGGCACCAAATCTATCATCATCAGTGTAATGTGACGGCGTAGTAGTGACAAAGACTTTAACACCTTTGATTATTTTCTTTGAGTGTCTTTTTTTTTGAGTGTCACGAGAGTTCACAGTATGCAAAGCAGAGGAGTGCACCGAGTCAGCAGAAATGTCAGTAAGTCGATCAATTCAACCCCCGGCTTGCTGCTTTATGACAGCCTGTAGCGCAGAGGGAGACCCGAGCAGCCCGGCCCACCGTGACCACTTTCCCTCCGTCTGTTGGAGGGATGCTCCTGTGCATATTCGTGCATGCTTAGATCGAAAAACAACATATGCTCTTCATCGACGTGATGCCTTGAAGCCTACTGTAAAAGCTGTAACAGGAAACCACAAGAGCACAAACCCTAATACAGATTTCCTTTTTTACTCTCGTGACAATCGGGCAAAAACTGCTTGGCATCGCGAGAGCTTTCATCAGGACGATGATGGCATTTCAAAGTAAAAGCCCTGACACGACCTCTGAGGCGAGGGGGCTCGGGGCAAAAGGGGAGGGCGAGCGACGGAAGGAGCCTGTCGGAGTTCCGTCGGGCCTGCAGGATCTATTCTCGCTGGGTTAATGCGGCCCCGCGCTGCAGGGAGGGTGGGGGTCGTTTATCGCTGCGGTCTGAGAAGCTTTTTGTGTCGGCGGAGGGACACTCGGCCGGTAAAAGCGAGGAGGGGCCGGATTGATTAACAAACCCCCGGCCGTCGTTTGTGAACAAGCTCCCCTCTCTGTAGTGTCTGTCGTTACGAAATTAAACCATTCGCTCTGATCACACATCGGCCTGCTTTGGCTCTGATGATAAAAGGGCTCCTCTGCTGCCTGCCAGCACATGCCTTTCCTTAAATGAACTACAAATGCTCTGTTATGGATTGGCAAGCGAGCCCAAAGACTCCAACGCGGCTAGTTTCCACCGCATCAGAATTTGCTGTGGTTGCCATTAGAATGCACAGGGTTGACCTTTTTTGCAGATTTTTTAGACACCCGGCTTCATCTGATAAAAACCTTCCTGCGGTGGTCGGTTTGTGTGTGTGTGCGCGCGTTTGCCGGCTGTTTCGTACAATGTGTTACGGCCTGTTCGCATAGTTTCCCTTTGTGCGTCCGGCACGCCGGGTCTCTCAGAGTCAAGTTTGCTCCGCGAGTCGGCGGTCGGAGCCGAGCCAGTCATTTCCCGGCTCCTTCAGGAGTCACCGCGTGGCCTAATCTCCGTCGCATACGATTAGCCGCGGCGGACGGGAAGACGTTGGAGACAGACCAGTCATGCGTTGACATGTTGCAATTGTTATGAAGGTTAGGCTTTGTTGTTCTGGTCCAGACTCAAGACCAAATGAAAGTTAAGGCCTGATTTTGCACTCATTTTTTAATAAAAAGTTTAAGAATAATGTATAATATCTTATTTCTAGTCATAAATCTGGCTCCCACATTACCCAGCAAGCAGTTTGATCCGATTCAGAAGCAGTTAATGCCGCTTTCTACTTCCTCCCCCCATTAATGATAATCAACTGTATCCATATTTACTGCGGAAACACAAATATGCAGCCACCTGCAGCTACCGACCACCTGAGGCGAAGGGCGGAGGCCAGCGAGCAGCCGTTACAGATTTCGTGCGTTTACCTGCGGCCCTGCAGCTACCTGCTGTCGGGTGATATGCCAGCTGGCACGCCGCTGACTTTGTTAGATAAGGCTTAGTCACGACGAAGCGGTGCCCACAACACGCCGAGAAACAGTAAAGAACGATCTGGTGTTTGGATTCATTGCTCAGGATTACCGGTCATCTTTCAGATTAAGACTCTACATATAAAACACAAAAAAAACAAGCTATGAAACGTAGTGGCCATTAAATCAGGGGTTCCAAACCTTTTTGTCCAGTTGAGGCTCCTCAGAATCAATTAAGTGTTCTGCTTTCCGCTCCCGTGGATCGGCTCTCGCCCCCTCTGGTTTATTCTGTGACCTTTTGACAGATACATCCGTTTCCATCTTCGGTCTGACATTCAGCTCTTATTGATTTGCATTGGGGATTTTTATCTACACCAACCAATGACTGCTCAAATCTATCGGCACCGAGGCGGCAGGAGATGTTTTCCCCTGACAGCTTATTTTGTGGCAGTATGTCAGGGAACGGAGCGAGTTAAAAGGACATAATTACAAAAACAGAACTAGCTTATGATTCCCGCGGGAAAACATGTTGGATATGTAAAATGAATCGGTCAATCGAAGGAGTTAAAAACTATTTTAAGAGCGGCCAATGATTAATCTTGTTTATTCATTCCACAGCGACGGTGCACAACAATTCAGTTTGCACCTCGATGTTAATGAGCGACATCATTTTCATCTCGAGTCCCAGATGCAGAGACGTCGGGACTCATCAACAGCCTCGGCAGCAGCCTAGGTCCCGCCCCCGGAGCCGATTGGCTCATGTTTAGTCCCGATTACTTTTCTAAATTGAGGCACTGCTTAGCGTCACGTTTGCCGAAGTGGGCGGAGCAAAAGGTCTGGAACCAGGCGAGGGGCCGACCCAGAGGTTGGGAACCACTTTACGAGCCACCCTGTTGTATGAAGAGCTTGAAACTAGCTCATTCTCCATCGGCTACACCGCTAAAGCGCTGCCGCTTAGCAATCCGTTATTTACAACCCAACAAGGTCACAAACGATAATAGCACGTACGGGGCTATATTTCTGCAGACTGCGTGCTTCATACACGTGTACTTTACAGAGCAGTCGTGTATCTCCAAATGTTCTGGTGTTTTTACTTCTACAGAAAGGATCCAATTACGTCCTCCACCACAAAACAACAAGCCGGGGAGGAGAAAAAGAGGGCAGATCATCGTCCCGATAAAACTGCCTCATGACACACTTCCATAGGCAAACATATGGAAACACTTCAGTCAGTGCACGCGTGTGTGTGTGTGTGTGTGTGTGTCTGAGCATGCGCCAACAGCCCGTTAGTAACACACTTTGTGCGCTGCATGAATGTGTTAGTCGTGCAGACTTCTCAGCAGGGAAGAGTGTCTTCCCGTATTCCCTCCCGGACAATGTATTCCCACCTGCGCACTCCGGGCCTGGTTCGGATTGATCGTCTGTTACAGTCAGCCTGCCGGGAAGCCGCGCGCCGCAACAACGCAGCAAGCGCACAACAAGGTCCGGCGCCACAACACGGGGCGAATCGAGATGATTGGAAGAGGAATCCCGCCCTCGTGTGAACCCTGAACACAGGGTCACACATCACACACACACACACACACACACACCACAAACACATGCACACACACACAAACTGTTTTGATGAACAATCATTTCTAAAACAGTTATCAAATGTGAGAATTTTTTGCTTTCCCCAGTCTCAAATATTTTTGTTAGGTTTGGGCCGTAAGCCAGATGGAACTACACTCTTATTTTTTATCGCCTTAAGCTCTCATATATTGAATTGGACCATTTTTCACTCTCGCTGAAAATGACTGCTTCAAAATTGAGCCATTTGGTTTGACACAGCGGCACGTTTGCCCACAACCGATGGGTTGTTTTGACATAGAGTGATCTTAAAACTCTGTGTCATTGAAAACTGCAAAGTAAATACAAGTATTTGTATACACTGCAGGCTCTACAAACTGAAATACTTGGCAGTTTTGTATGTAATGGAGATAATGGTTTATCGCAGCTCAAAGCGGACCGAAGGCAACCACATGGCGTCTCAACCATTACGCTGAAAGATACTTCCTCACAAATGCTCAGCCAGGGCGTCTCGTTGACAGCAGGCGCTTGTGCAAAGAGGAAGGAACTTGCGTGTTACATGAGCAAAAGTGAATCTAGTGGTCCAACCCACAGGACACAAACGGACTCAAAGAAGAGACCCACACAGGGGACGCGTGATGTGCAAACCTCAGTACACCTCAAAGAGCTTTCACCAGTTTTACCTTCCTTCATGCATGTGTGGCCTCAGGGTGTGTTTTCACTCACAGGTGTCCAGTTGTGCCTCCTCCACCACCACCACCACCTCCACCACCTCACCCACAGCAAGTGCTCTGATCCCCCCCAATATCATCTCCAAAAACCTGCATAATGGCTCGTGATGAGGACGGCACTGAGCCAACGGGACGTGGCTGGAGACGGCGCGCCGTCACGGAGACAACATTGCGGGGTCAGGTGCGGACGACGTGTACCCGTGCGTAACGCTCCGGTCCGGTGGGGGTCCGGTGTGTGGGGGGGGGACGCGTTGCGCGCACGGCGCAGAGACGAGATGTGATGAGACCCACTGACATACAGCAGGATGAGGGGGTTTTGTCCAGAGAAGTGAAAGAGCAGGCTACACGATTTAATAAGAATACCGCAGATCCTACGCCCCCCCCTCCCCCTCCTCCTCCACCTCCACCTCCAATCCCCAGTGAGAAATACAATGCGCTTATGTAAAGTGCCACTTCTTTGCAGGAGGAGGAGCAGTTTAGGTGGGCTAGTCCAGTAGACCCCCCCCCCCCCTCTCCACACACGCACAAACACACACAAAAGATGACCTACCTGGTAATCTCGGAGCTGCAACCTTTCCGAAGGAGCAAAGCTCTCTTCCGCATGATGCCTTTGTCTCTGCCGAGGTACACATTTTTATCTGAATTCATGGGTGCTGGGCGAGCAGCGAGACTCGTGCCAACAGCAGCGCCCTTCTTCTTTCCTTTCTGCAAGGAATATTAAAAAGTAACCCCCCCCCTCCTCCTCCACCCTCCAGAAAAAAAGCGAGACTTCGAGAGGCGGAAGGGAGAAAAAAAAAAAAAGGAGAAACGGACGACTCGAAAAAGAAGAGCAGGGTAAAATACAACAGGAATCCTCTGGCGCTCGTTCCACCTCAGCGGTGCAGGGAAAGTGATCTTGCAGGACCCCCCCCCCCTCCCTCGAGGAGAGACACAAGACGGTGCTGTGGGAGCTCCTAGAGGTGCAGGGTGTCGTTGCTCGGGGGCAGCTCCATGTGGGCAGGCTGTGCAGGAGCTCTGCAGACGTCAACCTGATTCTTCTACTGTGGAGCTCACAGCGCTCCTTCAGCTTCAGCCCGGCACGGAGGGGCTGCTTCTGACTTCAGGAGAGGGGGAGGGAGGGAGGAGAGAGAGAGAGAGGGAGATCTAATGAAGTACTAGGGCTTATTTATGTTACTAAATAGAACAATAATCCCACATATTCGATATGGATCTAAGGTCTTTGTCTGGTTTGTTCTGAGTAAAATACCAAAAATACAGGAGCAGTGCCTTTTCATTTCAAGGCTTTGTGTGGAATTATTTTATTCATGTATCCCCCCCCCCCTCCCCCATTTCCTTTGAACACTAAAAGCATATCTTTTCATTTTTCTTTTATTAACAGCTTCAACCAAACAAGTCATGCGATTAGCGTGTCTCCATTTCAGTGAAATTAAATGAAGTAACTGATTTTGGATGAGAGCAGTATACACGCATCCTGCAGCGTTGTTGCTGAATATGAATGCAGTGCCGTGTGTTGTGATTGGAAAGCTGGACAGCAGTTCTTTGGTCATTGAAAAACAATGTTCATTTCACCGGTGATGGTCCTCCAGCAAACGGTCGAGGAGACCTTGAAGCAATGTTTACTCCGCTAAAACAACGCTCCGCTGCCTAGCTGCGGGTGCGATGAATTAGGTGATTAGCTGTGAAGGAAGGGCCCGCATCCCGCATTCCCCATCAGGGCGGCTTGATGAGGGACGATTCAGGGAGCAGTGAAGCATCGGCGAGTCCGCATGAGGTCAGTCCATCTGTCCATTTGTCTGTTTATCGCCCCCCTCGGGGGTCGGTGGAGACCAAAGCGGAGCTAAAAGAGGCCTGCAGACATGTGGTGTGGCGCTGAAACAGCAGCACAAGGAGAGAGGCGTTATAACATCACCGAATCGATTCACCCATCAAAAGCTACGCAGAGGAGTTCTGTTGTGTATGAATCCCTTTTTCCATCGTTTGACTCGTGTAGTTGTTGTAGGTTGTTGGTTGTACATTTCTCCCCTTTCCATCCAAGAGATGAAAAAGTAAGCGGATGACTCCCACATACTGTTATCGCACACACACACACACGGACACACATGCACACATGCACTCTGTAGTGTGTTTAGATGAGAAATTCTCTAAACATGACTCACACAGCTGCATTCAAATAAAGACCCGGCCATGTTTGTGTGATTGGAAAGACTTCAAACCTTCTGACTCGCGCAGATTCAACAGTTTAACCAGCCTGATCTCCAAAACCTGCTCGTAAAAATGTATACGGAAATCTTGAACATACAAATTCGTAGTGATACATACGAAATAAATACGGACCGCGACTGATGACGTCACCCTATTCAAAGTGGACAGGGACCTGCGCCCCGTAAACACACTTCGTGGAGTCTAACGATGTAAAATAAACGTGCTATGATTGCATTTTTAACGAGAAATCAATGCTAACTTGTAAGAATAGAATACTAACCCCCTCAAAAAATCCAACATGGCGGAGAGACAAACAGGTTTTGGAGACCACGTTGGTTTAACGCGTCTCCCGATGGGCAGAGAGGCCTTTAAATAGCCGCTCTCTCATTACCCGCTTGTCTCCCAGCACCTTTGTGTGTGGCCAGGTAAGGTGAAACACACAGGCAATAAGATTGTAGAGAGCGACGCCGCATTCGTTCTAATTAAAACAGCTTGTTGCCGTGAAAGTCATTGCTTTTGCTCACGAACACGAAATAAAAAGCAGACGCAGGGGGAGTCGCTGGAGACGCTCAATGTGCGTCTGAGCTGCACAAACAATGTCTCACTTGTAAAGTTGATGTATTAGATTTCTGGAGCTTCCATGTTATAAATGATTTGATCCGTTTTTAGCATCCGAGCTTGAAGTGGAAAGAGTGGGAGAGTGTTTGCATGGAAAATCGACCACACTTGTGTGAAGCCTGAGTTGCTTTTGGAGAAGTTCAACAGTGCGGCGCGTTTGATTCGAGAAGAGTGTACGAAGTGGTGCAGTTCTACGTGTTAAAAAACCGCTCCTAACATGGGTTCCACGTCTGTCCAAATCGTCACTAGCTTGATGCGAATCCTCCCGCTGGCTCCGTCTCCGTCACCGCGCTGACCGGCGACCTCTACGCATAGCATTTCGGGGTCATTTCCACCCGACGCACGCAGGCTGCAATCCTGCAGGCCTCAGAGACTCTGTGGGGCTAATAAAGTGTGCGATAAGGAGGCGAGAGAACAGCTCAGTTGGTGACTGACAGCTGAATCGTTTGACCTAATAGCATTTAACCCCCCCCCCCCACCCCCCAACCTGCAGCAGATGGAGGGCTCGTTAGCGATGGATGTGGAGCCTTCCCTATATCGCTCCACCTCTCGTCTCAGCTGCCTCTGGATGGACTGAGCGGCCGCTGTCTCGCTGTCCCGAGCGATAAAGACAGAGCCGGTAAGAGAGAGCGGGGGGGGGGGCACACCGTTGTCGAGGTGAGTCCCTCAGTGACCACCGCAACCCAGTGTGGTGACACACACACACACACTCACTCCGGGTCGCAGGGCAGCGGTGCACGGAGACCAAATGTCACTATTTCAAACGGAATCCACTGGGAGAAGCGGTTACTCATCGAGGATGGAGGCGAAGCGATGACACACGTGTGCCCCTTCATCACAGATTCAACCACTTAAGGGTCTTTACAGATTGATTCATTTGAGGGGATATTAGAGGTTGAATTATCTATCACACCAGAGAAAAAACAAGAAACTACACAGTTTTCCCTTTATTCACTTTGGGACTTTGAGGTGAGGCAGTTGCATTGTTAAAAGAATAAAACAAAGAATATCTGAGTAACGCTGCAACATAAATGACTTTTGCATGTTGTGTTAAAAACTAAAAGAAATCACATTGCGCTGCCGTCCCCTCCAACATGCTGATCCTAATCAATATTCCAACCGTTCATTCAGGCTCACAGCCAAAGATCAAGGGTTAACTGTGTGTGTGTGTGTGTGTGTGTGTGTGTGTGTGTGCGTGAGAACAGGTGCAGGGTTGACGGTGATCCTTCAGGCCGAGGAAAGAGACTTCAAGGGCGCCATCGGCATGCTGAAGGACTTCATCGCTCTTTACTTGCTTTTCACTGGGGGCGCAGATACGCTACGCACACACGCACTTACACAATCTTGCAGTCGCACACACCGCTCCTTCCTCTTCTCCAGCCCGCTTAAATAATCAGAATCACGCAGCTAATCAGAGAGGCCAGCGACCGAAGTGGTGATTACAAGGAAATCTGAGGAGGAGAAACCCTCTTCACAAAAGCCTCCGGCGTATTTTCTTTTTTTTTTTTTTGCCAACGGCTGGTTGCAGCAATTCACATAGAAAACATGCAAAATGAGAGCAAGGGCATGATGGAACGTGATTACTGATTTGCTGCTTTCAGTCGCTGTCGGATCAGCCGCTGAATCAAAACAACCAAAGCGGTTCCTCCGCCAACAGCGCCTGTTGGAGCACTTTAAATCCATTATCGGTCCAAGGATGGAAGAGTGTGCAAGAAACAAGATTCCTCTTAAACCATCTGTGGAGGAGAGAAAACATTCTGTGCTGTGCATTTCTCGATGTCCTTGTTCAGAGGTTAAATCTCGGTTATAATAACCATGTTTATAGGAGGAATCATGCAGTCATCGACGTCATGTTCTTTACTTCCCTTTCACCCGAATCGCTCCAACTGAAGCCGGACATGTTCACAGCACTTCAGTTTCTACCCAAAGGGCTTTGCTGCGAATCTGACAACCGCTTCACAACTTTCTCCCCTTTCTTTCACTGTTTATTTGTCAAAGCTTCTCACTGCTCTTTGCTTTCAAATGTAGAAGCACAGTCTGTGAGAGGTATCATTCCTAAGTACAATTGCTTCTATTTATCGCACAGCTGTTACTTTTTGGTATCTAGTTTAGATGAAGTAGTAAAATATACATATAAACTGATTCATCCTACTTCAGGTGGTTTCATTAAAATAATAAACTGTTATAAAAAGCACCAAAGCAATTGGTAAATCTTACACCAATAACAACTATTAAAAAACTACTTGTTTTTTTCACGTTTTTTCTAAAAGGAAAATTCAGAGAATCACCAAAGTACTTCATATGAATTCTTTGACCTTTTAAATTTCATAGCATGGTTAAAGTCAAAAAGGAAAAGGCCCAAAGCGAAAGCTTTGTGACGCACTGTCAACGCAAACAAGAAATCAAAGCTCCACAAAATACGGCCGATGGTGTTTGGATTGGCATCATGACATCCTCCACCTCTTCAACCTGTTTGAGCTTTGGTTAAAGGCTGAAGCAGCAGGATGGAGATTAAACTCAGCGCTCAGTCTCGTGTTCCGTGATCACACATGCTGACTTAATGACGGCGTGGGTGTGCGTTTGTCACGACCATTTAATGATACGAGGTTTCAACAAAGAGGATCGAGATGGAACTCTTCTGAGTTTCAGGTGAAGGAAAACACGGCGATGATTATATTCTTTTATATTCCACCCATTAATTCCCCTAAACACTCACGCCTGCCTTGGTTACCAGGGTTGGTCTATAATGAAACGGAACTAAGTGGGTGGAGTTGAATTTGGAACCCTTTTCCAATGTATGTTGACATGCTGGATGCATTGTGTTTTAGCATTGGAAGTACACCACCTTTGGGTGGAGTCGACCCCGGACTGTCTGTATGGGAGGCAACAGCACTAACCACTCTGCTGTAACCTCAATGGTTAGAATAACTTATGACTCGATTGTAGACAATATTCAGATGTTTTTCTCATATGACTACAATACTAATTTTATGTTTTTTGAAAAATATTTTTTCAAATGTTTTTTTGATTTGTTGGAACCCTTTTCAAATGTGCTTTTTTAATTGTACGTTTTCTAACCATCCCGCCCCCTCATATGACTACCGTAAGAATTTCACACACACGCCCTCACAGCAGCTACCCACTCATTGTCCGTAACACTCTCTTCCTCGCTCACAGCGCGTTGGAGCCACCGAGAGCGGCGGTGATGAACGGGTAGGTGGTGCCACTCAATAGCTTCCCCACCACCGGCTCTG